GGAATGTAAATCAAAGACATTCTCTAATATTTAATTGTCCTTGTACCTCCGAGCAGATTCCATCTCTTACATTAATGAAGTACAACGCTTCCCTACAAGTTTATAATTGCAATATTTAAATTTGTCTTGCCAATTCGCATCTGGAGGAGGCTGGGAAACTCATGGCAAAGATTTCAACCAGCACGTTCAAACACGAACAGGTTTCAGGTTGCGTTTAAACAACGGCAGTAGGAAAAAAATCAAGACTACCGTCCAAAAGAAACAAGCTTAGGCAGCAGGGGTGACCTGGCCGGTGTCCTTTTGCTAAAGAAAGCAAGGGGAGAGGGAGTGAGGTTTCAAGTTGTGATGGGAGCTTAAATAACAGGGTAAAATGAAAAGTTTAAAAAGAAATCAGCACTTCAGTGAACACACCACACTACAGCATATAGCATCTCCCAGGTGAAGAGCATCTCCTGTAGAAGATCTCAAAGTGCTTTGAAACCAAGACAACATCTAGCCACACAACACCCCTGCGAGGCAGGAATTGTCCCCAATCCACAGAGGGAGAAGTAAGGGACAGAAGTGAAGCGACTTGTCCAGAATCCAAAAGCAAGTTTGTGTCCATGACAGGGACAGGACCAGAGCTTGAACCCTGAGCCCCGTCCTCTCCTCACAGCAGGATTCTTCCCCGTACCGTGAAAATTAGACTACACAACTCCCCAGGACAAGAACGTCTTATCACTCCCAATTCATACAGTACTGCACGCAGGGGAGCCCTGATCTTGGGCCCTGCTCAAATACAAGTAATACACAAACGGGAGAATTCACAGCAGATTAAAATAGGGTGCAACGGCTTCAAACAAAGCAGGACAACATAATGAAAACTGCATGGGCCTGGAGATGCGTCAGAAGCCATCACAAAGACAAGTGCTCTATGCCAAAAACTGTCACTTCAAGGGGCTAGACTTTCCTTGACTAGCGCGCGGATAAAGCGTGGCTTTCTGCTAACTCCTGGTTTGGGTTCTGAAAGGCCACCAAGTGACACAGTCGGAGCTGCGGTACAAAAATGCAAAGCAGGCTCCCTAGCTCAGAAAGGACCAACTTTAGAGTCCAAAATGTTGTGGTTTTGGTTTAAACTGAGCTTTCTGCAGCAGGA